TACACATTATACACACACACACACACACACACACACACATACACACACACACACACACACACACATACACACACACACACACAACCTACCAGTACAAGCAGTCATCAGATCAGAGGACACCGTCGTGGGCTCAATATCTAAGGTGATATCAACCCCGTCGTCCCCAACCCAGTGCTTGTCGCTGCTCAGTGCACAGGAACTGCTGACGTCACAGCTCTCCGCCATAGCAGCAATCACAGAGGAATCTGCCGATTACATACGAAAGGCATCCTTTCTTTGAAGAGGGCAAAGTTCCTGAATATAACATTTGTTCTTTTTTTAATTGGTATGGATGGCGGATGAAGAGCTTTCTGCCCTCAAAACGTCCTGATATCCCCCCGATATAACGCGCGATGTTTTTTTTTACTATTTTTGTATTTATTGGAAGAAATCACAGATAGATCTATCATTCATGTATACATGGATCGAGGATGAAATTGTATGCTCGTGAATACCGTTTTATTTATGTATATATGAGGGGATGAGATACGAAATCCATTTTCGCGCTTTGAGAAAATCAGCTTTTTAAAATGCTTCTATACGCACGAACTGACAGCAGAAAGTGCAACAGTCACTGGTATGGCACTGGTCTACCAACACAGGGAGCTTGGCTAAAAAAAGGTGTATGATGATGATGATGAAAATTGACAATTTGGGGTATGAAAGTGGTAGTGGTGTGCCAAAATCAGCTACATCCCTCCCCCCCCCCCAAAAAAAAAAAAAAGAAAAGAAAAGCACCTGTATGCCAAAAGTCACTCTTTTGCTTTAATAACACCCACGGTACTCATCTCTACAAAACTTAGCCCTAAAAGGACAATGATTTTTTTCTCTGCTGGCAGAGAGAGAAAATGAGCCATCTCTATCGGTATCAAACGTATTAAATGACATTTAGCTTTTGTTTTGGGCTGTACAAAACTTCTGTTTACACTCAAAGGCGCCCTTTTGAAGAGGAAGTCACGTGACCGGATCGGGAGATTTCATTGGCTGATAAAAAACATTTTAGGATGTATCGACTTAGGAAAATTGTGAGGCAGCGTGGTGGAATCAGGCTCTCGTTAATTTTTGGGCATGTAGAGTTATTGATATCATCTTAAAGCTTGTTCACTTGTCTTTATTTGGATGAAAAAAATATCCATTTATTTTGAATACAAGTCGAGATATTTGCGATTGAAGGAGGTGGGGGTCACCTGTTTTCAAAGGTAACATTAGTGAGAAAATAGCCACCAAAGATTAGTTATTTCCTTATCTTAATAATCCGTGGTAACTGAAAATTTACATTTTTGTGCTTTAATCAACGTTTTTCATACAAATCCAAACAGAAATGAATTTCTTTAATGATCATGAAATGTGCTGAGCCGAAAAACACAAGTTTGATAAAAATTCACAAACCTACGGAAAAATGGAAGTTTCTTCACTTTGATTATTTGGAAGAGAGTCTGATTTCACCACGCTGCCTCACAATTATGATTTTGGATGCATCGGGTTTTGCGTAAAAAGAAGATTTTTTTTGTGGCCTTAAGTTTTGGCCGAAAACACTTCGTGCATCTGATAACAATACGCATTTATGGGCAAAGAATATCGATTCGATTTTTAAAACAAAATGTTGCTTAACGGGTTTTGAGGGTTTTGCGTCTCACCCCGTCATATATATGTGTGTGTGTGTGTGTGTGTGTGTGTGTGTGTGTGTGTGTGTGTGTGTGTGTGTGTGTGTGTGTGTGTGTGTG